GCTTATACTGATCACTGCATTATTTTCTAAGAGCCCACACATTATCTGTTAATAATCTGCTCTAGAATTTTGCTGGGCATCATTCCATTATTTCTGTGTTCACAAGTTGGGGATTTCCTTCATTCTCCATAGGTTTTCAAAAAATTTGCCCAATGCCTTGCCAACCATGCCTGCAAACTCTTTCTGTATGTTGAGTATTAGTTTCAATGACCCAGAAGACTTGATCATTTTGAAAGCATCTAAGTCCTCTCTTATATCTCTTTATCTGTCATAATTTTTCATTTATTTATTTCCAGTTTGAAAATTATTCTTTTTTTTTTTTTTTTGAAATGGAGTTTTACTCTTGTTGTCATCCAGGCTGGAGTGCCATGGTGAGACCTCAGCTCACTGCAACCTCCGCCTCCTGGGTTCAAGCTATTTTCCTGCCTCAGCTTCCAGAGTAGCCAGGATTATAGATGCCCTCTGCCACCCCCAGATAATTTTTGTATTTTTAGTAGAGATGAGGTTTTTGCCATGTTGGCCAGGCTGGTCTTGAACTTCTGACCTCAGGTGATCCACCTGCCTCAGCTTCCCAAAGTCCTGGGATTACAGGCATGAGCCGCCATGCCTGGCCCCAAATTATTTTATTTGATGAAGAATAGAGGATGAAACCAGGAGTCTAGGTGCTCTACCTCTTCTTTGTTTTCTGCCAAAATTATATTTTCCTTGATATGTAAATTAACCTTCCTCGCTACCCCACCCTCTTCATTTCTCCAAACTGTAAAATGCTTTTTATGTTCCACTTCACATTTTCTTTAAGCTTTAACTTTATTCATTAAAAAGTTTCCACCATTTAATGATTTCCTTAAAGTCTCATGCCATCTTTGCTATTCTCCTTTGTCTTTGTGTCAGTCAGCATTTTTATAATTTTTAGTTAAAGTCTGAGTTCGTATGCCTTCCCGTTCTGCTACAGGTTTTATCAGATGGCTCCATATTTCATACACTTATTAGAATTGTTTGCAATGGAATAGTAAGAATTTAAGTTTTTTAGAGTTTCTTGTCCCATTAATAATCACATTTAGACGTTTTGATTGTCTACTTTTTTATTGAGGTAAAAGTCACAAAACATAAAACTCATACTTTTAATCACTTTAGGGTGTATACTCTGGTAGCTTTTAGTACATTCACAATGTTATGTAACCATTACCACTATCTAGTTCAGCACATTTCCCCTCAAAGAACTCCCCCACATCAGTTAGTAGTCTTTCTCCACTCCCCACTTCTTCCAGCTTCTGGCAGCCACCTACCTGCTTTCTGACTTTCGATTTGCCTGTTCTGGGAATTTCATATAAATGAAATATATAATATGGGCATTTTGTACCTAGGCTTTCCACTTAGCATGATGTTTTCAAGGTTTGTGATGTTGTAGAAGGTGTCAGTACTTCATTCCTTTTTATGGCTGAATAATATTACATTGTTTAAAGATATCACATCTGTTTTATCCATTTGGATTACTTACGCTTTTGGCTACCATAAACAATACTGTTATGAACATTCATGCACGGGATTTTGTGTGGACATATGTATTGTGGGTAGATACATAGGGCTGGAATTGCTGGATCATATGGTAATTCTGTGTTTCACATTTTGAGGTGCTGCCAAACTGTTTGCCAAAGTGATAGCATCATTTTACATCCCCACCAGCAATGTATGAGGGTTCTAATTTCTCATATCCCTGATAAGACTTGTTTTTGTCCTTTTAAAAAAGTCATAGCCTTTTACTCAGTATGAAAGGTGTCTTGTGATTTTAATTTGCATTTGTCTAATGACTAATAATGAGTATCTTTTCATATGCATATTAGCCATTTTGTATCTTGGTTGAAGAAATGTCTATTTAAATCTTTTACTCACTGCTTGAGTTATATTTCTTTTTATTATTGAGTTGTAAAAGCGCCTTATATATTCTAAATACAAGTCTCTTATCATCAGGTACATAGTACATATGATTTGCAAATGGTTTCTCCCATTCTGTGGGTTATCATTTCATTTTCTTGATAGTGTCCTTTGAAGCATAAATAAGTTTAATTTTGTTGAAGTCCAACATCAATGTTCTATTTTATTGCTTGTGCTTTTGATGTCACATCTAAAAAATCATTGCTTAACCCAACATTATGAAAATTTACTCCTGTGTTTTCTTCTAAGATTTTTACAATTTTAGTTTTTACGTTTAGGTCTATGACCCACTTTGAGTTAATTTTTGTGTGTGGTGTGAGTAGGAGCTTGTGAGAGAAAAGACGATATGTTGATTGTAACGACCAGGGGCTGGGTGTGGGGTGGGGTAGGGTGTGAAGACAGCAGTGAGCATGCCAAGCCCTTTTAGGATGGTCAGCACTAGGCAGAGGGATGGCCGTGAGAGAGCTGAATTGATATGGTGGGACTTGCGAGTTCCAGTAATGATTTGAGTACTAATCTGCCCCTTCTAACCTACCTTTTCTTTTCACAGTATCTTCATGTTAAATTTGTGCGATTATTTTTATTTCTACTTCACAGATGAAAAAAACTAAAGCTCTGAGACATCAATTAACTTGGCCAAATTTGCATAGCTAATAAGTAGCAGAGCCAGAACTGACATCCAAGTCATCATATTCTAATTCCTAAGCATCATACAAGAAAGCGTGAAGGACAAGAGAGAACTGACCTAATTGAGAGCAGAGATATTATCCGAGACCCTCTTCCCTGACCCCATTTTCTGTCAAAGAAACCCCTGTGACCCTGGAATTAGAGGCAGTTATATCTCATTTTGTTTTTCTTTGTCTGCTAATAATGTCTTAACAGGACTGTCTGAAAGAGAGAGCAAGGCTCTACAACCTGGGTTTTATAGCCTCCCTACATACTTACTCTGGGCCCTTGAGGTTTCTGTACGGCTTTCCCTGTGTTCTTAGCACAGTGTCTCTCAGAAGACAGTAGTACATGGCTGAGTCTGACACCTGGACTGAATGTTTCACAATGGGGGAGTTTTTGTCTTTAATATTTCTGGCTCCAAAGTTTTTACTGTTTTCCATTGTCTCTTCCTGAAGAAACTGCAGAGGTTTGTTGGGGTATTGGACATACCAGAAAAGAGTAGGGTACCCCGTGGATGTGTATGTGCAATTCATAGTCACAGATGCTCCCTCCGAGATGGTTACTTGATCCGTCTGTTTGACTGAATTGCTGTTGGTTCCTCCTGTAGGGGGGAAAAAGGTACTGCTTTTATGGGTTTGGCCAGAGTTGTATCTTCTGGAAAAGGTGTTTATTATTTTGAAACAATAAAAAAAATTTTGAATGAAAGGTACTTACCAAACATTAAGATCAGAATTAGAAAGTCCAGAGAGGAGTTCATTGTCAGCATCTCTGGCCTAGTAGAGGGCATCACTGTTGAAATGAGGATACAAAAGTGTTCACAGCTGAACTCAGAATTCATGCATAAATTATGATTGCATTGGTGAAGAGCACCCCCACGTGACAAGTTAATGAACAGGTTATAAGACGTCATCTGCCTCTCAATGCTCTGCTCTGTGTCCTCACTACTGTTCTCATTCTGAAGAGTCACGTTGGGTGTGAGGTGGCCTTTTTGTGCAAAGGGGACTTTGCTACCCTCCTAAGTCTGTTACCTCTACAACACTTATTCTAAGGGAGAATAATTTCCACTACAACTTAGACATCACGTCACGTCATTATTTTAGACAGTTGTTTCAATATTTTCAGTTTTTATACAAAATATTGTGATAAATCTATGCTTATATAAACCCAATTCATACTACTAATTATTTCTGTAAAACATGGTGCACTGAACACACATTGTGACCAAATGCCCAATGGTGAGGGGTTAAAGTCAATATTTGGGAGAAGCTAAAGCTGAATCTGAATATCAAAAAATAGAATTAGCTTTGAAAATACAAGAATAAATATGAAATTCTATCTAAAAGGTAATTATTATAATTTTTTTAACAAAGACTTAGCATTCACATTTCAAAGTTTAGCATTACGGTAAAAGAGCAGTAACCTCTCAGGACTGTCTATTGTTGCTCCTGTTATTACCATTTTTCACATTTGCAAAATTTTTCACTGAAGATGGTAGTAAATCAAGATATTTTGGTTCTCTCTTCTAGAAGAGGGTAGTGCTGAGGGTACACTTATTTCTTTTTTATCTGGACTTGAAGATTTATTTGATAATGATGGTATAATTCAATTGAAGTCATTTTGCAAAGTCTACTTGTTTTTTTTGTTGTTGTTGTTTTTTTTTTCCTGTTTGTTATTTTTTTCTCTTCCTCAGTTCTGGCATAATTTTTATCTGGTTTCTCAGAAATGGAAATATTTCTCTTCAAATAAGCAATCTTGCACTTAGACTAGAAGTGGCTTGAATTTCATATTTATTCTTGTATTTTCAAAGCTAATTCTATTTTTTGATATTCAGATTCAGTTTTAGCTTCTCCCAAATGTTGAGTATTTGCAGTCTTTATTTCTGGCCACATGGTAAATGGCTCAAGACTCATGGTTCCAGAGGAGGTCCTTGGAGAAAAACAATTCCGTGATTTTGTGCGTATGTGTGGCTTGTCTCAATAACCTTCACTATCTGGATAGCTGGAAATAATGAATCACATTGTTTTTTATTTATGTTTCTTTGATTGCTAAATAATTTGCATACCTCTTTATAAAGTGGCCATTTATACTACTCTTATGGATTGCTCATTTTCCCTAGAAATATTAATGTTTTACTATTGTTATGGTTTGACTGTGTCCCCCAGAGCTCATGTGTTGGAAATTTAATACCTAGTGCAACAGTGTTGAGAGGTGGGACCTTTAAAAGGTCATGAGGGCTCTTTTCTCATGAATAGATTAATGATATTATCATGGGAGTGGATTAGATATCTTGGGAGTGGGTTTCTGGTGAAAGAGTGAGTTTGGCACTCTACCCGTAGCTCTGTCTTGCATGCTCTCTCTTGCCCTTCTTCTGCCTTCTGCCTTCTGCCTTCTGCCTTCTGCCATAGTACGACGCAGCAACAGATGCAGGCCCCTTGACCTTAAATTTTCGAGCTTCCAAAACTGTAAGAAATAAATCTTTGTAAATTCAAGTCTCAGGTATTCTATTATAGCAGCACAAAATGGACTAAAACGGTTGTTGATTTATTTTAATTTTAATAATAAGGGTAATTTTAATTACATTTTAAATACAAAGATATTATCAGAAAATCACATTGTATATATTTTAAATAACTAATGTCGGAGAACTTTCCTTCATTACTGGGCTTATAGTTTTGACCAGTAAGCTATGATTAGATGACAAATATGGGCAAAGTTTTGACAAATCTTTCCCCATTTCTCAGATGCAGTCTCACATGCTTCTTAACCTGGGCCAGCAAATCCAGAAGTCTGTCCAACTTCCCACATGCACTCCTGTGCTACAGGGCTCTGTCTGGTTAAAAAAAAGAAACTGCTCACATCCAGCCCCTGTCATGCCCCTTGCAGTTTGCACTCATCTCCTCCGTTAACCTCCCCTGCTGTGTCATTGGGAGCATAAAAGTACACAGTTGTGCCTAGTGCTTGGAAAGAGGTTTTCTGCAAGTGGAAAGAGGTTTTAATCTTAACCTAATGGGCCTGAAACCTTTGTAATCTTCCTTTTCATTTATCATGATGCCTCAGAGACAAAGCATTTTAATATCTCTTCGGAATATTGGGCATACCACAAGAGGAAGGTACCTACCCATGTTGTGTGTGCAGTTCAGTGTCAGGTGTGCCCCTGAAGAAAGGGTCACATAGCTCTCTGTCTAAGCCACTGAGTCTCTAGTGGTTCTTCCTGGAAAGCCAAGGTTTTTATTGGAATGAATGGAAACGGCATAGAATCTAAATAATAAAATGAGAAATAAGATAAATTATAGAGCAGCCAAAATTTTAAACTGTCGTTTTGCTCACCGGAGGGTAACAACCTCCCAAGCACTGAAGTGGAGGCAATGATCATGGCTGCCCCAGTGCTGGGGACTGTGGAGAACCCATGATTTCTCCCGGCTTGCACAGGCTGTCTCATCTAGGATTGAGGTTTCTAACCCACACCATTGATTGCACTTCCCTTCTTTAGGTTTTGGGAAGTTTGTCTTTTAGTACAGGTTTTTCTTTAAGATGTGAGACTCCAGGATCACTAAACCTACTGGGTCCTTAGAGGTATATACAAGTGCGTGGCATGACTACATGTAGGAATTCTTTAAATCTTAGATTAGCCAAAACAGACAAGTGCTTCTGCACTGGAGGAAGAAAGAAAACAAAGCACAACGTGGCATTGGATGGAATCGAGTCCTGTGTTCACTTTGTCATTCCCGGACCCGAGTGCCACTGCAGCAGCCATCTACTTTCTGAAGATTCACGTCCTGCTCACTCTGTGTTTTACGGGCCATCTCAGACTCAGTTGTTACTCTTTGGATCACTCCTCTCAGAACTTGAAACTCTCTCACCTCTAACATCAGAACTGTCAATTCCAGTGGAACACTCTTCCCATTTACAGGTCTTCTCTCCAACTATCCATGGAAAGTGCCTGCAGAAACAGAGGTGGAAACAAGGACAGGTTGGATCTGCAGGGACTGGCGAGTCTGCTTTCTTCTACTGTTCAGGGCCTGAACACTTCTGCTTAATCTGAGAATCCCAGTTGGTTTGTTGAACCTAATAATTTGTTGAGATTTTGCAGGACCCTGATCTTTTGTGGTCCTGTAAAAGATACTGAGGAATGTCTTTTAGCCAAACCAAGAAGATGGTTTCAATAAACCTAATAATCTGAAGTCCAATTAAAAAAAAAAGTAAACAAATCACAACACAATGGTATCTTATTTTGGGCTGGGGAGTGAACTCTAAGCAATACTTACAATTGTTTTTGGATCAGCGGTTAGAGGAGAGAAGCTCTGGTTTGTGAGACACATGCTGCCCTTTCTGTGTCTAGTAAAATCAATAGAAATTAGTAATGATGATGATGATAGCTAATATTTACTGAGTGCTAAGTGATGAACTAGAGGCTTTGTGTACATTAATCCACATGACTGTGAAAAGTAGGTGTTAATATTATTGTTTCCATTTTACAGATGAGGAAATTGATGATCAGAGAGGATAAACAAATTTCCCCAGGTCACACTGCTCAAAAGTGTTGATGCCACGATTCAATGTTTGATCTGTCTCTTTATTCGCCAAGTCCACAGGACTTGGCTGTCTGTTCACAGCTTATTCAATAGTGATTTACTAGGCTCCAGACACTATAAGGGTCTGTCAAGTTTAATATTTGTTGGATAAATTAATTAGTCAATAAGTAAATTAAGTATTTGATTTCAGAGCCTGGGAATTTAACTAGAACATCCATCTTTCGAAGTGTTACTTCTTTATATCCCTGCTCCTTGCCTTAGAAGAGCAGGCAACAAAGGCTCTCAGTAGAAAGCCCCATATTGGCTATGCTAAATGATTTTTAATAGTGATGCTGTGGCTGGGTGGGGTGGTACATGCCTGGAGTCCCAGCTTCTCTGGAGGCTGAGGTGGGAGGATGGCTGGAGCCCAAGAGTTTGAGGTCAGCCTGAACAATATGGTGAGACCCTAATTTCTAAAACTATTTTAAAAATAAAATAGTGTCTCTGATGAGGGTAGAACTCCAAAATGTTCAGGAGAGTACAAGGTTATTATCTAGACAGCACCATGAGTAAGGTCAATAAATGTTTCCCACTTCAAAGTTATAAAAAAGCTCACGGTACAACTCACCCTCTTATTTGGTTTGACTATTACCCTCTATATGCATATTTTTTGCTGTGCAGGTAGATGTCTCCAAGCTGGGTCTCTGCCACTGCATTGTTCCAGTTGAAGAGTTTATATTAAATATGTCGTTGTCAAAAGAACGGGTGTCTCACCATCTCAGAGGTAAGCTGAGGATGTGAGATGCTTCTTTTCTACACCAAACTGCTCAGTTAATTTGCCCTCACCCTGTATGCCACTGTTTGAATTATCAAATTAATGTAAAGTCTTTCCCATGCGCCTGTCTGAAACATTGACATCTGAACAATTTGTTTGAGTGATGGCTTTCCAAACATGATGAGGGCCAGCTTCCTGAATATGAAACTTGTACAGAGTCAGAATTCATGCTTTATTGCTCTGCTGTTGCAGTCTTCAAATTCTTTGTAAATTTTGAAAAAACTAAGGGTCTCTGCATTTTCATTTTATACTGGGTCCTATAAATTATACAGATAGTCCTGCTAAAGGCCTATGTCTCCTGGTAGCTCAGGGACTGAGCATTCTTGTCCATTTGTTGATGAATCAACCCTGTTCAGATCGATGAGACAGTGGAGATCTTTATTACATAGCCATTCACAGAGGCATGTGGATTTTTATTTTCCCTCTGCTCCAACTTCCATTACTTTTATCACCATAGCACAATTTTCTAAGGTCCTTAAAATGCCTAAATTTGAGTAGGGAGCCTTGCACAACAGAAGAAAGCATAAATATTGCCTTCTGGAAAATGCCTTCGCAACAGACCTTCTTGTGTCTGAAATTAAGACTCCTTCCTATAATTTTCCCCTAACCTCACAGGTCATCTGCAGTCAGAAGATCTACAGAAAGGGTATCAAATGTGTCTTTAGCCCCTTTTCCATCAGCAGAAGCAGTAACAACAGCTGCTCTCAAATGAGCTTTTCTGGTGGAAGAAGCCCCTGGGCTCAGAATAACACCAGATATCTTTCGTTCTGATGTTAATACAACAATCTTCCCCACTTTCATCTTGATGATCTGCAGTCTATTCTCAGCGTGGCAGCCAGAGTGAGACTTTTATATGGAAATCAGATTATGTCACTCCTTGCTCAAAGCCTTCCTCTGACTTCTCATTCCACCTAGTTCTAGAACATGTTGAGCATTTCCTACTTTAGGACTGGAGTCTCCTCTGCTTGGAAAACTTGTCCCAAATATCTACAAGACTCACTTTCTCATCTTCTTCAAGTTTGCTCAAATGTTTTCCTTCCAGTGAGCTTACTCTGATACTTTACCTAAAATTACAAGGGCATCACCCTTGTGTGGCCCCCTCCAGAATTTCCTATCTCCTAACTTGCTTGATTCTTGTCTCCATAGGCTTATCTTCTTATATATTGTAATACTAAATATATTAATGCTAAAGACACTCCCTGAAGAGATATAAGTTTTAAACCATATAGTAATTTGCTTATGACTAATGCCTACTAGAATGTATTTTTCTATAAAATGTGATATCTTTGTGAATTTTTAAAAAAGATATAGCTCAAGTGTCTAGAAGAGAGCCTGGACACTTGAACATTTGTTGAAGAAGTTAATTATAAACACTTGTTGAACCTCAAAGTCTAGCAGAAGACAAGAAATAGCTAAGATCAGAGCAGAACTGAAGGAGATAGAGACACAAAAAACCCTTCAAAAAATCAATAAATCCAGGAGGTGGTTTTTTGAAAAGATCAACAAAATAGACAGACCACTAGCCAGATTAATAAAAAAGAAAAGAGAGAATAACCAAATTGATACAATAAAAAACGATAAAGGGGATATCACCACAGATTCCACAGAAATTCAGACCATCATCAGAGATGATTACAAACGACTCTATGCACATAAACTAATAAACCTGGAAGAAATGGATAAATTCCTAGACACTTGCCTCCTCCCAAGCCTAAACCAGGAAGAAGCCGAAACGCTGAACAGACCCATAACAAGGTCTGAAGTTGAGGCAGCAATTAAGAGCTTACCACCCAAAAAAAGCCCAGGTCCAGACGGGTTCACAGCCGAATTCTACCAGACATACAAAGAGGAGCTGGTACCATTTCTTCTGAAACTATTCCAAACAATACAAAAAGAAGGAATTTTTCCCAAATCATTTTATGAGACCAACATCATCCTGATTCCAAAACCCGGCAGAGACTCAGCAAGAAAAGAAAACTTCAGGCCAATATCCATGATTAACATAGATGCAAAAATCTTCAATAAAATACTGACAAGCCGATTGCAACAGCACATCAAAAAGCT